CATTTGTTGGTGAAAACGTTCGCCGTGCTCATCACTCTCGTCACCAAGATTTTCCGGGAAAAAATCCATGTGAGAATGTAGGAAATGTATCTTCAAAGACATATTCACACCTGTGTTCAGTGAAATAAAAGGATTTGAAATTAATTATATGTAACAAACACAATATTTTTGATGTATACCTATTTTCTCATAATTTTTGAGCAATTCATCGACGGCTTCCTCATAATCTGGGCTTCTGAAATTTCCTAAAAAGGTTGTGACAACACGCTGGAACGATTTCCACGCTTCTTCCTCATCTGGTGTCAAAACTGTATTGAATGCGGAATCATTGAGCAGTTTTTTGATCTGTGGGCCAACAAATACACCTTCCTTTATCTTTGCGTCAGATAAATTTGGAAATACTGATTTCAAGTACTGGAATGCCGGCCCTTCTTTTTGCAACGCTTTGACGAAATTTTTGAATAGCCCAAGTTTTATATGTAGTGGTGGAAGTATTATGCGTTCTTTTACCACAAGAGGATCATTTTTAACGTTGTCTTTACCAATTGTGAAATTATTCCGTTTTGGCCAATCTTTTCGGACGTAGTGTTCCTTACGAGCTCGACTGTCCCATTTACACAAAAAACACATATATTTTGTGTATCCCTGTTGCAATCCAGTCAACATGGCAACCACTTTAAGATCGGAACAAATTTTCCAATTGTGTTGATTGTAATTTATCAAATTGAGCAATAGAGCCATTGATTCATACGTTTCCTTCATATTAACGGCATGAGCTAATGGGATAGAAGGTTTCTCATTCCCTTGATGCAGTAAAACGGCTTTCAAGCTCAACTTGCTGCTATCGATGAATAAACGCCATTCAGCTGGATCATATGGCTCACCAAACTCTTCAAACAAGCCGTTTACGTCATGGCAAAAACATGCCTTGTCCTTTGTATAATAATATTTGTCAAATTTCTTGTGACGATTCCTGTGACAAGAAATTTTGACCTCCTTGCTCAGCATGTTGTGTTCTTTCAAGCGTGATGCCAGCAATTCGGATTTCTCCTTCGATAAGTCGAGATCTCGCACCAAATCATTAAATTCGGATTATGTAAACAGTTTGGGTTTCTTTCCAATTCCACCTCGAAGTCTTCCTCGCATTCCTCCTTGAATTCCTCCTCACTTTTTGTAACAGTCGATTCAACAGAGGGCGCTCGTTTCCGCTTTGGATAAACAGGATACGGGACCGAACTTGAATGTGGAACAGGTTTTGTCATAGAAGCCACTTGTGGATACTCAACTGTTTTGTGACGTCCTTGTTGCTTAACTTTTGTCAAGCAGAAATAACAATCCGTTGCATGACAAAACGGTCGACGCCAAATGGTAGGCATGTCAAAGGACAAATAGCGACTGACAGATAACAAATAAGTGAGTTAGTAAGTAAGACATTAACACTTATCAAAAATAGATGAAGTAAGATAATGTCGATCAGGAAAGAACAAAGCACTACCCTGCTGTACATAAATTGTATATATGAAAGTTATTCAAAAAATCAATTTACCTTGCGCCTGACATCCACCTAGCCAAGCACGTTTTGCACGAACTACATAATACTTTTGGAATCCACGGTTCGTCAAAGTCTCCAGGATCAATTTTAAAATAAAGCCTGTATGCAGTTTGCAACGAAACAGTGAAATTGACCGATTTTGTAAATATATAGTTGCCACACGCGTAACAAAACTTTTGAGGATCATTTTTACACTTGAATTCACGTTTTGTCGTATACATCGTTAAGCAATGTTAAAGAAAGAAAGCTGTCAAATTGAGTTGGTTGCGTTAGGTTCTCGCCGAGCGGTCTCACAAACACTAGCGTAAATTATGTTGTTGAAAATATCCCATTTAATTTTGCGTGACAGCTGGTAGTGTTAGGGAAATGCACCGTATGCGTACACGTCCGCAGAAAGGCTTACTGGAAGTGGTGCATGAACCTAGGAGCGGGACAACGGCCAATCTTGGAACATTCAATTTCCACGATTTTACAAAAAAATTCATTACTTCGACAATTTCCAACCGATTTCACCCATTAAAGGCTCATTTTCTCCAGTTTTTAATGGACTTTAAGAATAAATTATGGAATGATTTTTTGAATCTTTTTATCCCATTAAAAATGTTGATTAAAACAAGATTTTTATGGAAAATTCGCAGGAAAAAAAAATGCTGTTAATTTTTAAATGATTTCAAAATTAAATTTTTAATTAAGACATAATATTCTAGTGAACGATAGCAAATTTATTTAGCTTCACTTTCATAAAAAAGATTTAAAATTGGTGCACTAGTTCCAAAGATATTGACATTTTAGTAATCGTACTTTTGTCCAAAATTCAAAAAATCAAAATTTTTGTATATCTCAAAAATGGCTCTACTTTAATTTTTTCTGACCACGGCATTGAATTCAGCGTAGGATTTTGCATTAGAAACGTTGGTCAACCACTGAAGTTCACACTTTTTATGTTGTTTTGTAAACTAGTGTTATTAACTACGTACACAGTTTTTTGGGATTCTTCCATCCGTTTTTCCATATTATGCACAAAAGATACGTTCCCCGCAGGATTCATAATAATAAGTATAATAGTCAAAAATGCATGACAAAAATCAATTTTGCGTGGTTCTACGTCATACTGCGGTCGTGTCTAGGACCCAACCCTTTAATTTTTTCACAACATGGAATGTTCTCACTGCAGATGCTTTCCAAATTTATTTAACTTTCCGTACTTATCGTAAGATTTGATAAAGAGTAACTCATTTTTGAGATATTGTAAAAAATCTTACACTGCTTCTTGATCCCAAACTCGGCCTACGGATTCTAAACTCGGTCTAACGCATTGAAACGCCATTGAATTCACTTCGACCTTTCGGATGAAGGCAAAAAATGATTCGGATTTTCGGAGGCGAACCAGCCCAAGGCTGAAAGCCTCCCTAATAAAGTTAAATAATAATAATGATTCGGTTTCCTTTTGTTTAAAAAAATGGGTGCAAACATTCATATCACACGTTCTCATTGAGTTAGTTTGGTAGATTTTGAACAGAAGTATCGTACTAAACGCATAATTGACTTGTTAACGCCAAAATCATGGTTTTATTTGATGTTTTCTGCTCGATACGCCCAAAATGGGCAATACCCTAAACGGCAACTGAAGAAGAAGGGAAATTTCAAGAGAATTCTAAGATGATTCCAAGAAATTCTCTTAAGGGCATTTTGAGAAGAATTTTGAGGTGAAATCCATGGAAATTTTAAGAGAAGACATTTGGTAATCTAAATGGCATGCCAAAGGATCTTAGAGGACTATTCCATTCCAAGCGAAAATTATGGAGAGAAATGAAACAAATTCTAGCGAGAAATATCGAGAAAACAAAGATAAATTAAGTGTGGTTATCTGGAACGAGTTCCTAAAGTGTTCTGAATTTTGAGACTGGAGAGTATTTCTAGGGAATACCGGACAGAATCAGGATCGGCATGCTCATTTTTTAAACACAAATTGCTCTTTTGTTAATAACTTTTCACTTAGTTGATGAAACTTGATTTTACTTTAAGGTTCTATTTACTTTGATGCATTTTTTTAAAAAGAAAAAGCAGTTTTTTTCGACGCATTATTTTAGATTGCAAAAAGCTCGCGTCATTTTGTGTAAAATATCAAAAGGAATCGAATAGTGCGAGCTCTTTGCAATCTGAAATAATGCGTCGGAAAAAATTGCTTTTGAAATTTTCCAAAAAGCATCAAAGTAAATTGAACCTTAAGCGATCAGAGTTCAGAGTAGACCCTTATAAAGAAATTAAATCACAATATTTTAATTCACACCAATGAGTTTTTTTCAATGAAAGTTTGACATGGACAGCGATTATTGCTTTTGTCGTTTTTGTGACGCACATTTGGGAACAATTTTTCTAAATACAAATGTATTGTGTTTTACGTTCCTATAGGAACCTCAAAATCTTTCTATCAGTTGCTTCAAGAAAATCCATGTTTCGTCAAGTGAATGCCGAGTTATTAACAAACGAGCAATTTGTGCGAAAAAATGAGCCTGCCAACCCTGGACAGAATCATAAGATTATTTATGGAAATCCTGAAAGTAAATCGAAATTAAGTAATTATGACTACTTTTTGGGATGTTCCTAAGCAAATCCTTGAAAAATGTGCAAAAATATCCAGAGATGCGTTCTTGAAAAAAAAAAAAAAAAAAAATCGCTAAATTTGAACATTGAATTTGTTTCAAGATTCCGTGCATAGAAATACAAGGTCCATGATTAACAAAAAATCTTAAGATTCTGATACTTCGATTGAGAACAAATTTCAAGATCCTGGACTAAGATAACTGGTTTTAAGATTATGGAGCTATAAATTGCAGAAAAGTGTAAGCAAGTTCGCTAATAAAATGCTTCTCCTTCCCATACTAGTGAGCTTTGGTTTTGCGTATTACCGACAATACTTAGAAAATAGCAAAATCGTTGTATATTTTCCAGTTTAAATTTTGATGGATTTCAATTCGAGTCAGACTTTGTGATCGAAATATTTATAACTCCATATGTCGTAGCCATAGGCGTAGCCAGATAGGGGCAGGGGGGGGCGACTGCCCCCCCCTAAACTCGGCAACACAAAGGCTTTCGAGGAAATGGCGTTCGGTGAAATGGCATTCGGCCAAATTTTCCATGGTAATTTTTTTTTCGCCCCTCCCTAGCTCGAAACCTGGCTACGCCCTTGGTCGTAGCTGTATCTCTCGTTGTTGTTAGAACAACTTGTTTAAATATTTGATCAGAGATTATCACCAACGCAATATGGAATGTAAATGAAGTGGTCACATTCTCCAGCATCAACATATTTACGGCAAGCGACATATCAGACTGCTGTTCCTAATAGATATCGTTACGTTCCGATGGTTTCAATTTCAGCTCATCACGCTTCCAAAGCTACGCGATAGACAATAGACGGATATGATTCATCCATGTAGGTACGACTTACCTTGAGGTGAGAATACTCCAGCTTCCGTTCGCGAATATCGAGCTTCACATCCATAAACATACTGATGACGTTCTCCTCCATCTTGGACTCGCGGGTAACTGCAGGGTCAGTTTTTATCTTTTGTAGCCAAATCGAACTTGCAGATCACGTCCTGAAATTCAAAACATTCACTCAAACTGCACTGGTAACAGAACCGACAATAATGTTTAATCGATCGTCGCTATATTGCTGCACCTCTTATCGCTTCTGCACCTACACTCTACAGTCTACACCTGTCTGCCAGAGCTCTAAATCGCGCGCTTCAGTGGACAACAGAAAATCTCACTTGTTTGTTTTAAAACCACCACTATATCGCTACATGCGAAAGTGATCATACAGCTTGTGCGACAATAGTCATTCAACCGATAAAAAAAGGGTACAAAGATTATTTACCTATTGACTTGATGGGTAGTAAATTATTCGACTGGAGTGTGTGTCGGTCCCCTAACACTTTTATTTTTGTTCACCGGATGATCACCACATATAAAATTTCCTAACTCTGCCGTCTGTCTGCATCGTATAAAAGTTTCTAACAAGATTATGAAGCTGGCTGTTTTCTGTTATGAACAATCCAAATTCTTCTCAGGATAACTTTTCATATTTATAATGTTTTATAACACTGATATGTAATTAGATGTTTAACTCAAAATTTGCTACTAAATTAAATTTAAAATTCTCCATTCTGCTGCAAAATTCTTAACTCAACCACCACACCCGTGAGCCAAACGAAAATAAACTACATGGACCATGGCACTGTTTGCGCCTGCTCATTATCACGATTATAACTGGCCGCCAGCCAGAAGCAGCCACATTATACGGCTGCTGTCAGGAATAAAATAATATATACCTAAATACAGATGCATTCATAGTTGATCAACGGAGAACAGCCATAGAGACTGCAAATACGATACATTTAGCGATGTTCAGTTTACCTGGTAGCAGCGACGCCGAGGCGGGCGTTATGAGTTTTTGGAAAAATTTACACCATTAACTCTATTTGTATTGTTGGTTATTTTTGGGACGTAAAGGAGCAGCAGAGACTGGAGAACATTTTTGACTCTTTATGTACTAAATTTACTTTAGTTAACCTGCGCCATTTTTAGTTTGCACAGTGTGCAGATTAGCAGGGTTCAAATTAAAAAGAGTTCAGATTGAAACGACCAGATTACCGCGGGTCCACGGTATTGGCGTTGACGGCACCGTCGAAAAATTTGCTCTTCAAGCAAATATAGACAGTTTCTTATGGGAATTTTCGGTGGAGTGAAAGGATAGTACAAAGTCCGCCATGTTTCACGCACAGTCTGACGTTTGCTTATGGATTTTCTCATAGGAGTAAAGAGCTACAGAGTCGCCGTCAACGCCAATTTACATCAATTTTTCTCAAAACAAAAGACGTCCTCATAGCGAATCCATTTTTTTCTTCCTTCATCCATATGCCGAAGTGAATCCAATGACGTTTCAATGTGCTTGTATGGAATTGAATCTCGTTCGAAAAAGAGAGGTAGTTCGGGTTGTGCTTAACTGCCCATAAAAGCATAACTGTACCATATGAATAAAAAATCAAGCAAATATGGGACAATTATGCGAGTATCGACAGTTAATATGACTGAAATTAGATCTTAACCCGCATAAACGCGAACCATAAATTGACCTTACCTAAAATGGTTAAAAATTGTTTATAATCCCTGCTAAACTTTAACTGAAATGGTTATGGAACTTTACATGAACGTTTAATGATAAAGTTTCAACCTTATGTATTATGGTTTTTTGGAACTGGACCTTACAAATAATGGGTTGTTAAGAACCATTACCGTTCCAAATTCTTGTTTTCTCCATACATTTTCGGAAAGAGAACTATATTAGAACCTTTTAACTTATGATTTGAGAACATTAATGGTAATGGTTATGGTAGTCAGTAAGGTCCGCGAATGGTTTTGTAACATCGTTCAACTTTATGTGGAATATATCGCGAATTGGTTGCCTGTAATTTACTGATTACCAATTCACGATATATTCCACGTAAAGTTGAGCGATAATACAAAACCATTAATGGACCTTACTGACTACCATAACCATTACCATTAATGTTCTCAAATCATAAGTAAAAACGTTCTTATATAGTTCTCTTTCTGATAATGTATGGAGAAAACAAGAATTTGGAATGGTAATGGTTCTTAACAACCCATTATTTGTAAGGTCCAGTTCCAAAAAACCATAATACATAAGGTTGAAACTTTATCATTAAACGTTCATGTAAAGTTCCATAACCATTTCAGTTAAAGTTTAGCAGGGATTATAAACAATTTTTAACCATTTTAGGTAAGGTCAATTTATGGTTCGCGTTTATGCGGGAACCCTATACACAGATTTTACGGAATAACTGCTTCCATGTAAAGCCCTACAGTAAAAGTATGGACAACCGGTCCGCACTCGTGTTTATTTCAGTTACCATGGGGACGTAATTTGTGATTAGTCCCGGTCCCTTTCAAATTGTATAATTATTTATGTACGACCTTAAATTTGAAGTGACGTTTCACATTCATCTAGTGATGGCCGATTTTCATTCGAATAATCGATTAATCGATTAACGAACCGAAAATTAAAATATTTGTAATCGGTTATATCATGCTGATATAAGCATTAACCTCACCAGAGGATCATCACCCATCGTTTCAAACATATGCTGCACTCTCATTGGTGGAAAAATGACAGCACAGCGAACAAAAAATAATCGATTAGATGTTAATCGAATAATTTAAAAAATGGGACATCTCTGATTTTGGTGTGATTGTTTTGATAAAAAAGAGCGCAAAATTTCATTTCTACCGAGGGGGCAGCAAAACCACAAAATTACCTTGCATACGGGGGGTATTCACTGGATGAAAGGGACCGTGAAAGAGAACACTAAAATTGAATTACGTTGATTGATATTACTTTTTTTTGCTGTGTGGCTTACTAAGAAACAAGCAATACAAACATTTGCATATAGTAAACCGTTAGTTAATTCCCAAAAATATTATAAGATTTGCGGTCAAAAAAATAAGTATTACATTCACTGTATTGCATTTTATCTATCGACTGGTTCTACAGTGAGCAATATACGTAACAGTTACTAAAATAACTTTTGTTTCTATTTCACACGATTTCTAATGTTAACTTTTACCACAGACAAACAGACATAAATCATTGAATATTTCTCACTGTAAAGCATCGTCGCTAAAACATTACCGCCATCTGTTGAGTGTACTGTGGTGGGTAGTACGCTGAACAGATGGCGGTAGTTTGTAAACGTCAAACGCAAGGGAATTGCCTATGCGCGCCACAGGTGGCAGTACTACCAACTACGATACTTTTAAATTGGCCGTTAAATGCTTGTTCAATGAACAACTCGCGAGTGTTATGTCTGTTTGTCTGTGCTTTTACTATGGTGCTCATATTGGCCCTTAGGATTGTTGATCGGAGCAATAACTGAAATTATTCAAACACATGCTAAATGATAAATGAGTATATCATAAATTATCCTTATTAACACTGTACACTCAGGTCTTTTTTTACATGGAGATGCACCGTGTAAAAAACCTACAAAGATTTTGATTTGTCACATACTAAAATATTTTTAATTTTGACGTAAGACTACGTTACATTTCTATACCGGGGGTCACATTAAAAAAATCAAAATTCAGACATGCCAAACACGGACGCAACTATAGCATAGAGGTAACTCTAAGACAAGTAGGTCCCGAAGAAACGTGCTCAACTTTTTGGCTCACCTCTGGTACTATCTTCGGTCCCAAGCTTGTCGAATCACCCCTCGAAACATAGGTAAAACCAATAACCCCTCATTTTATCTGTCAAACTTTCATAGCGAATCAAAACAAACATTGCGTAGTACTAGAATTTCGACTAGAATAGGGTACGTTAATCGTTTGCTTGGGACCAATAGGCTACTAAAGTGGTGAGCCAATTTAAAATCGTTAGTTTCGTATTGATTGTTGACTATAGTCCGTAAATCGAACAAACGACACATTGCGCATTCTCACATAAGCGAGCTCAATGCTCGGTTGATCGCTCACCATTTCACCAAGGGAGGAGAAAAGTAGCGATAATAAAAACAAAACGCTTGCCAAATCGTTTTCTTCGTCATTTGCTTTCGAGCAACGGACGGATAAGCGTCGGACACGACGTATGAGTGGAACAGCACGCATCGCACCAATACGAAAGACGACGGACGACGACGAAAACACCCACATCGCAGGAGGAAAGGGTTTGCCACCATTTGAAAAACAACAGGACCTTTTCAATTAAAAAAACGGAAAGAGTTTATTTAAAAATATGACTGAACATCTACAGGCGTTATTTGCCCCAATGATGTAACTTAAACTAAACATGAAAAGTACTAAAACAAAATATCAATAAGTACATAGATAGTCATCTCGTAAAAAAAGGAACATTACTAAACAAACTAAACTGATCTAGAAAAAAAAACGAACTAAACCTCCGGCGAAGCAGCTGGCGAGTCAGGTCAAAATCAAACAGTGCGGAGACCCTATTAAAGAGTCTCTGTAAACCACCGATTGCACCGAACATGCTATAATTAGTTCGCTGTATGGGCAGGCGCAGCATTGAATTATTCCGTAGGGGTCGGGGTTGAACATTGATGTCAATGTGCTCAAGGAGGACAGGGCAATCGGTGCGTCCTTGCAAAATATCCACAATTAGCAAAATATACAAAATATCCGACAGGCGCTCCAGATGGATCAGTTGCAAACGACTTTCGTAGCTAGGCAATCGGAAGGGATCCGTCCACGGCAGTTTACGTAGCGCATATCTCAGGAACCGTCGCTGAACAGATTCAACTCTTTCGACACCGTTGTTGTAGTGAGGAGTCCAGACAACCGAGCAGTATTCTAATATGGAGCGAGACAAGGAGCAGTACAACGATTTAAGGCAGTAGATATCGGTGAAGTCTTTGGCAATCCTGAAGATAAACCCTAGAATTAATTATATGATTTGAGTAGTAGCTATACTGAAGATCCGAGAGATGTCGCCCCTACAGTGGTAGGAAAATCTTTTTTGCAGTATGGAGAATATCAGAAAATCCACGATTTGTGACTAAACATGCTTTCACAGAAGGAACCAAATAAACGAGTGTTTACCTTATCACCATAGTAATGTACTCGTGCAATTTTCGTGCATCTAAAACTGCCCATAAAGACGATAATGAATAAAAACTGAAAATTTTCATGCATTTCCAAATGGTTTCCTACCATTGCCATACATTCGAAAGTGACTGGCCCTCTGGATGTGGATGATATCAAAAACAACAAAACATGATTAATTCTGGAAGCTTTGTCGACGGCGTGCGAGACCCTAATAAAAAATAACCATAAACGAACGATAACCCAAATCATTGAACTATTCCATAAATGGTTTGGATGATACCCAGAAGGTATGGTAGTCAGTAAGGCCCATGAATGGTTTTGTAACATCGATCAACTTTATGTGGAATATATCGCGAATTGGTTGCCTGTAAATTAATAATTATCAGTTCGCGATATATTCCACGTAAAGTTGAGCGATAATACAAAACGATTAATGGACCTTACTGACTACCATAACCATAATCATTAATGTTCTCAAACCATAAGTAAAAACGTTCTAACATAGTTCTCTTTCCGAAAATGTATGGAGAAAACAAGAATTTGAAATGGTAATGGTTCTTAACAACCCATTATTTGTAAGGTCCGCTCATAACAGAGTTCAT